TTCAGGTGTAAAATTAGGCTGTTTATTTGAGCTCTTTATTTGTTCTTAAAAAGTAGGTGTATATCTCTATAAACTTCCCTCTGGAAACTGCTTTTGCTGCATCCCACAGGTTTTTGTTTTCGAGATATTTTTAAATTTCCCTGTTGATTTCTTCTTTGATCCATTAATTGTTCAGAAGTATGTTGTTTAATTGATACACAATTGTGAGTTTTCCAGCTTTCTCCTGTTACTGATTTCTAGTTTCAAACCATTGTGGTTGGAAGTGATACTTCATATGATGTCAGTCTTCTTAAATTTGCTAAGACTTGTCTTGTGACCTATCATATCTTTCCTGGAGAATGTTCCATATGTACTTGAGAAGAATGTGTACTCTGCCACTGCTGAATGGAATGTTCTGTAGATGTCTGTGAGGTTCATTTGGTTTAATGTGGCATTCAAGTTCATTACTTCCTTATTTATTTTCTGTCTGGGCGATGTATCCCTTGTCGAGAGTGTGGTACTGAAGTCCCCTAATAAGACTGCAGTCTATTTCTCTCTTCCAATCTTAGTATTTGCTTAATATAGTTAGATGTTCTGATGTTGGGTGCATGTATATTTATGCACCTTCTTGATGAATTGACCCTTTATCATTACACAATGACTTTCTTGGTCTCTTATTAGCATTTTGGGATTAAGGACCATTTGGTCTCCTATAACCATCCCTTTCTCTGGGTTCCACTTGCATGGGTGTCCTTCTCCATTCCCTCCCTTTGTGCCTGTGTGTGTCCTTACAGTGGGAACGAGGTGCATCGAGCCATTCTATGGCTTCTGACTGGAGAATTTAGCTCTTTAAATTTGAGTCATTATTTTTTATTATTCTATTACAGTTGTCTCAATTTTTCCCTCTTTGCCTTCCTCTGCCCATCCCACCTTCCCTAGAGTAATTATTGATAGGTAAGGACTCACTAATGCATGCTATTGTTTTCTGGCTATTTTAGAGTTCACTTGTTTCTTTCTTCCTCTCTTGCTGCCTTCCTTTGTGAACTGATTTTCCATAGTGGTATTCTTTGATTCCCTTCTCTTTATCTTTTGTGAATCTACTGTGGGTTTTTGTTTTGCGGGTACCAAGAGATTTACATATAACACCTTACAGATATAACAGTGCATTTTATGCTGATAATAATTTACCTTTGATCACATATAAAAACCCTACCCTTTCATCCCCTTCTTTTTTCATTTTTGATGTCACAATTGACCTCTTTTTATATTCATTAATTTGTATTCATTAACAAATTATTGTAGTTATTTTTAATACTCTTGTCCTTTATCTTTTATATTAGAGTTAAGTGGTTTGCACACAATCATATTATATTATTGGAGTATTCTGGATTTGTATAAATAATTACCTTTACCAGCATGTTGTATATTTTATGTTTTCATGTTACTAATTAGCATCCTTTTATTTCAGCTTGAAGAACTCCTTTCAACATTTATTGTAAGGCAGGTCTAGTGGTGATTAACCTCTTCAGCTTTTGTTTTTTTGGGGAAATTTTTTATCTTACTTTCATTTCCAAAGGATAATTTTGCCAGATAGAGCATTCTCAGTTGGCAGTTTTTCTCTTTGAGTATATTTATTTATTTATTTATTTGTTGTTCAATTACAGTTGTCCCAATTTCCCACCCCCCTTGCTCTCTCCTGCACCTCCCCCACAGTCAATCCCCACCCTGTTGTCCTTGTCCATGGGTCCTTCACACATGTTCCTTGACTAGACCCTCCCCCTTGAGCACTTTTACTACATCAACCTGTTCTCTCCTAGCTGTAAGCTTTCTGCTGAAAAAGCTGATGGTCGTTTTACAAGTTCCTATTAAATTATAAGCTTCTTTGCTCTTCCTGCTTTTAAGATTCCCTTGTTGTCTTTGATTTTTGACAGCTTTATTAGACTGTGTCCTAGAGAGGACCTCTTCGGTTTGCTTGGTGCCTTATGAGCTTCATGTACTTTGATATCCAAATCTCTCCCCAGATTTGGGAAGTTCTCAGCTATTGTTACTTTAAATAAGCTGTTTGCCCCCTTCTTTCTCTGGAACTCCAATAATTCACAAATTATTTCTATGGATGGTACTGTACAGATCATGTAGGCTTTCTTTACTCGTTTTCTTTCTTCTCCTCTGACTAGGTAATTTCTGAGTTCTTATCATTTAACTCATATATTCTTTTTTCTGCTTGATTCATTCTGTTGTTGATGCTCTCTATTGCATTTTTTTCCTCCCATTTTATTCATTCTGTTCTTCAGCTTCAGAATCTTCATATTTGATTCTTTTCTATGATTTTTATCTCTTCCTATTAAAAGGTTTTATTTATTTTACTTTTTTTTAATTTTGAGAGAAGAAAAGGGAGGGAGAAAGAGAGGGAGAGAAACATCAATGTGATTGCACACTCCCTAACTGGGGACCTGGCCTGCAACCCAGGCATGTGCACTGACTGGGAGTTGAACCCATGACCTTCTGGTTTGCAGGCCAGTGCTCAATCCACTGGGTTACACCAGCCAGGGTTCTATCCCTTTCTTAAATTTCTCATTTTGTCCATTTATTGTTTTCCTGATTTCATTGAATTGTCTTCCTACATTTCCTTGTAGCTCATTGAGTTTTCTTAAAACAGCTATGTTGAGTCATTTATCAGGTAAATTGCAGATCTCCATGTCTTTGGGATTGCTGACTAATAAGATTATTGTGATCCTTTGGTAGTGTCATGTTTTGTTGATTTTTCATGTTCCTCAAAGTTTTGTGTTGCTGCCTTCACATTTGAAAGAGCACTCACCTCCTGGAGCTAACTACCCTTACTAACTACCTGCCTTCACTAACTCCCCTCCTCAATGTGCCCACACACTTCAGTCCATGGATGGATGCCAGACTGTTCTTGTTGGGGGCGGCACAAACAAGGGATATCTCACCCAGCCATGGGGCTCCCTGTATATTAATAGTAGCAAACCATATGCACAGGTCTCCATCTTACATATCATTTGGTTAGAGATCATTCTGTGACATTTCATAGAAATCTACTGCACATTCTTTTAACTGCTGCATAGCATTCTATTGTGGGGATGACATAATTAACCTATTTTTTAAATTGAAGTATAACTTACATCTAACATTGTATTAATTTCAGGCATATAACATAATGATTCCATGTTTGTATATATCGTGAAATAGCACCACCTCAAGTCCAGTTAACATTCATCACCATACAGACCTGCTCTTTTTTTGATAGACATTTAGGTTGTCTCTAGTTGTAACTATGGACAATGCGGCAGTGAATGCTCTGGTACACAGGCCTTTGTGCTCCTGAGTGGGCTCTAATGCAGGGTAAATTTCTAGTGGTGGGATTGCCAGGTCAAAAGGTATATGCATTTGTAATTCTAATGGCTTTTTACCTAACTACCTTCAAAGAGACAACCATTTCACAGTCCCTCCAACAAAGAACAAGGTGACTTTTCTACACTGGGCATTTTTTTTGCCAATTTGATATCTTAAAAATGGTATCTCAACCTTAATTTTAGTCTACCTTTCTCCTATTACGAAGTGGTTGAGTGTCTTTTCATTTGTTTAAAAGCCACTTGTATTACTTTTTTGTGAACTGTGTGTTCATGGTATTTGTCCATTTAATGTATTATTTTAAATTAATGTTTAACAATGAAGACACTATTTTCCCATTGTCATTTGCTCAAGAATCTCCTCAAAGGTAAGAAGCTCTCTCAGACAGGTGTTCAGGATCCACACCAACTCCCTTTCTCTAACTCACATGGTCTCCTCCCCCAATATCACTGTTCCCAAGGAAGGGCCTTTGTTCCGCCTCCTGAACATCCCATACCCCTCCCACACCCTGCGTTTACTCTCTCATCCTTCTTCCCAGTCAGACTTGACTGTCCTTCAGGGTCTTCCAAATTCTACCTGTCTGGGGCACCTTTCTGAATAACTAATGCCCACGCTGCCTACAGTCTCACTTTAATGTGGGTCTCATCCCACCAGCTGTAGCCTATGTCCCTCAAAGGCGGGGCCTGGTATCTCCCAGAGTCCAGCTTCCCCTCCCTCGGTCCTCAGAGTGCAGGGGTGTCAGTGTGGAGTGTTTCATGCACTCACTCAGCACTTGACTTGTACATGAGTGAGGCACCATTTCAGGCCTGTGGATGCGACAGACCAAGGCCCCTCCTCACCCAGCTGACATCTCAGTGAGTGCAGGGGTCTAACATAAAACAAACAAGGTAATAAAGAAACACACAAATAAGAACCTCAATTAAGTGCACACAGTAATGGAATAGTGAAGGGAGGAGGGAAAGAGTCTCCTTTGGACAGAGGGGACAGGGGAGGGATCCCCCAGGAGCTGAGATGAGAGCAGAGACCTGAATATGAGAATCCTCCAGCCATAGAAAGAACCTTCCAGAGCCCCCACTAGAGGTCCCACCTGGAGGATCTGGTTGAGGCACAGCCCAGTCCTAAGCATCTCTGTCACTTGAAGAGAACTGAAGCAGAGCCTGCGATCCCTGCAACTTTAGGGCTGTATGTGTGGTGTGTGGGGGAGAGGACCTGCACCCTCCTGCTTCGCACGCATTTCAGCTGCAAACTTGGGTGAATGTAATCATGCTTGACCTGGCATTAATAGATGACCTAATACGTGCCAGGGTCCAGTTAGGCACTTTATTCCATTGTTACTTCATTCAATCTACACAACAATCCCGTGTAATATTTATTATTAACTTTATTTTACAAAGGAAGCAACGGAGGCTAGGAATATGGAAGCAACCTGTTTAGGTTTACATGGATAAGAAAGACGTACAGTTCTCGGAGAGAAAAGTTCTGTCGCAGGGATCGGGTGGGGTTTACTGGGGCATTCGGGGGCGCACCCTGTTTCCGGAGTTTGCCCCCAGAGCCCCGACGGCGGCCCTGGCCCCGCCCGAGTCTCCGAGCCTCTGGGGCCAAGGGGCGCGCGGCGGGCTGGGGGCGGGGAAGTCTCGGGGACAAAGGCCGCGGCCACCGCGCTCGGGCAGGCTGGTGCGGCGGTGAACTCCTGCGGACGCCGGGACCTGGTCGCACGCTCGCACCCGAAGGAGCCCGCACAGCGAGCGATGAAGCGCCCTGGGGAGCCGCCCGAGCCCGCTGAGGTCAAGCCCGCCGTCCCGCCGCCTGCACCGCCCCCTCCCCCGCCTCCGCTCCCTCCCTCCCGCCCGGCGGCGCCCGCGGCCGCTCGGGGCTCGACGAACATGGCGGCGGCGGGGATCGGGCGGGACACTTTACCTGAGCACTGGTCCTACGGCGTGTGTCGCGACGGCCGCGTCTTCTTCATCAAGTGCGGCGCGGGAACTCGGGGCCGCGGGCGGGGGCCAGGGGCCGGGCGGCGTGCGGGGCCGGGCGGGGGCCCCCGGGGCGGCGGCGGCGCTAACAGGTGCACCTCTCTCCGCAGTGACCAGCTCCGCTGCACGACCTGGCTGCACCCGCGCACCGGAGAGCCCGTCAACTCCGGCCACATGATCCGCTCAGGTGGGCGCCGGCTGGCGGGGTGGGGCACTCGCGGGGCGCGCCTCGGGGCGGCCAAATTTGACCTTAACTTTTCTCGGGTTTCCGCAGATCTGCCCCGCGGCTGGGAAGAGGGCTTCACGGAGGAGGGCGCCAGCTACTTCATCGAGTGAGTGACCGGGGCGCCGCCGCTCTCGCACCTGTGCTGCGGTGTTCCACCCGGTTCCCGCCGCGCAAATGCGCCCCCTCCTCCCGCAAGGGTCCTGAGCGAGTTGGCGCGCACAGCGCCGGGGCCGCAGATGTGTGGGGTTTTGTCTGCCCGAGTTGTGAGGCGGCCTGCAGGGAGTCGGGGGTGGGAGGCGGAGTGGGGTCCACGTCTCCACTGAGGGACCCGGGAGGGTTCCGGGGTCCGAGACCCGCTCGCTGCGGGGGCTGGGGCCTTCAAACCGCCCTGGACCCGGCTATAGGGTTGGTTTCGGGCGCTGGTGTGAGGGGTCGGACACGCCCCCCGCGTTCGAGGTCTCCGGCTGCGCACAGCCCGGACCGGGATGAGCTGGGGTGGGGAGAGTAGACTAGGAGTTGCGTCCCGGGCTTGGGAATCAGGGGTGGGAAGGGAGAGAATGGGACAAAAGAGACGAAGGAAATTTCGTTCGGGGTGGCCTTTCTCTTCGGCCGTGTTCTCTGGGATGGTAGTGGAGAGTTGGAACCGCACCTCACCCCGCCACTCCATTGCGAGGGCCTGCTGCGGGAGCAATGGGGGTGGGGAGAAGAACCGATTAGCCAATAATATTACTCGAACGCTGAGTGTCTCTGTAACTTGTGCTCAACTGGGGCAATCACACTCCTGCCTCCGCTTAGTCAAGCAGTAACTTTTCTGCAAAAGCCCAGGAGCCTTTCCCCACAAGCCAAGTTATGCTAGACCTGGGTCTGTAGAAATGAAATCGAGGTGCCGTTCAGACGCTAAAACTCTAGTACAGTCTTTACTTTTCCACTCTGGTTATACCTGTGTTGTATGTTTCTCCCTCTGCCTGCTCTCCTGTGAGCTCCATGAGGTCAGAAACTGCTTTTGATCCTTTGCCCCAGTGCCTGGCACAAAGTAGGCACTTGGTAAATGTTTGTTCACTGAATGAATGAGCTAGCTTCAGATCTGTCTGGACTGTGGTCTGGCCAATATTAAATGTAGTTTTGGGGACATTGAGTCAGAAGTCCTTTTTTCATCAACTTGAAAACACTGATAGTAGGCAGTGGAGCAGCATTTTCGAAGCTCAAATAGTCCCATAAAGTCCCAGAGCCTCTCTCCTGGGTTTGGGCTCTTTCAGCATGGTTGAAATCCTGATGGATGAGCCCTGGCCGGGTAGCTGAGTTGGTTCGAGCCTCGTTCTGATAGGCCAGGATTGCAGGTTGGATCCCTCCCCCACATCCAGGTCAGGGCACATACAAGAGTCAACCAATGAATGCATATAAGTGGAACAACAAATCAGTGTTTCCTTTTGTCTCTCTCTCCTTCTCCCTTTCTCTCTTCCTCTAATCAATTTAAAAAAATCCTGATGGATGAGGTTTATAGAAGTGAGCACTAGGACTGTGGTTGTGTAGTGTGAAGTTGGTGTGACTCTCTCTCGCTCACAACTGCATCCATTGATATTTATTGGATAGTTCCAGTGTACCACACATTGCTCTAGGCATTGGGGCTACAGAAGTGAATGGGGCACACAAGGTTATGGTGCTCATGGAGCTTGCAGTCTCTCAGGGGAGGGGAGGGAGCAGAAAATAAGTAAGTAAACAATAATATTAGATGGTGAGTGGTAACTACTATGCAGAAAGATAAAATAAGGTGATGTTGCGTGACCAAGTGGCTTGGTTGGATGGGAGATTAGTGATGGTGTTTCTGAATAGGTAACCTTTACTTTAAGGTAAAATATGAATGACAAAGATCCATCCTTGTGTTGAGGAGGTGGAAAAGCATTTCTGGAAGAGGAAACAGCCAGTGTGGCTGGAATATGATGAACAAGGGAGAAAGTGGCATGAGAAGCCCTTACAGATAGGGGCGAGCTAAATGGTGTAAGGCTTTGCAAGCCAAGGTTCATTCCAAGTCCAGCGAGATGTCATTGGAGAACTTTAAGCAGTGAGAGACAGTTCGACTTGCATTTTTAGAAAGATCACTGTACCTGCTGTAGGGTGGACTATGGGTGGGCACCTGTAGCGGGCAGGTGGCCCTTGCTGTAATCCCACAGGAGTTACTTACTGATGGACTGACCGAAGGTATAGGAGCCCTGGAGGTGGAGAGGAGTGGTTGGGTTCTGGCCTGATGGTTTGGATGCAGTCTGTGAGAGAAAGAGAGGGGACAAGGTGACTCCTAGAGGCTTGAGCCCCTGACTGGATGGTGCTCACATCACTGAGATGGGAGGGCTGGGGAGGCACAGGTTGGGGTGGAGGAAGTGGGAGAACTTGTCTTGCCCTGTAACACTTGAGATGTGAACATGTCAGCTAGTCAGATGTATGCACCTGAAGCTGAGGAAGAGAGAAGATGGAGGAGATGCACTTGGGTATTATAGGTGTTGTTCAAGGCAACAGGATTATTAGATGAAGTCACCCAGGAGGAGGGTGGAGACAGGAAAAAGAAGGTGCCCCACGCCTTGGGACATAGCAGCATTTACAGGCTGGGAAAAGCGTTGGATCCAGCAGAGGAGACTGAGAAGGTCGGAAGAAGCCTCAGAGGATGAGGGCTCCCAGAAGCCTAATGGGCAAAGCCTGGTGCAGTAGGTGGAAGAGAATGTGGAGTGAAGAAATGGAGTCGGCAGTTTGGGGTGACTCTTTCAGACAGTTTGTTACAAGCAGGTTGAGAAATTAGCTGAGAACTGGAGAGGATGTGGGTTTGAGGGAGGGATTGTAGGAGCTTGCAGAGTGCAGTTTGTTGTGATGGGAATGATCCAGTGGGGAGGGAGAAGTGGACGATGCCGGAGAAAGGACAGTTGCTGGAGCAGTGTTTCTGAGAGGTGGGAGGGAAGCGACCCAGGGCGGAAGTCTCATTGGTCGCAGGCAGGAGCAGGGCGCTTCCTCCACTGTCAGCAGGAAGGGCTGCCAGTGCCTGTGCCCATGCAGGGAGCTTGATGGGTTTGGTGAGGGGAGAGGTACCCACCTCTCCTGTTTCCATGAGGTTCTAGGCAAAATCTTGAGCTGAGGGATCTGAGGGGTGTGTAGGATCTTAGGCTTCCTGCCTAAGAGCCTCATAGCCTCCTGCCCTTCGTGTCTTTTTTTCTCTCTTCTGTGGCAGCTCTGTGAGGTCCCTCATGATTACCCTTCAGCAAGCTCTGGTTCCCTACCTATAGGGCCTCGGCCGAGTCCTTCCAGGCAGAGGGGACAGCAGTGTGTGTGACAGTCCCCCTGGGACCCCGTGGCAGGGGACTGTCTTTTCTACCTCCTTCTGTGACAAATTTTGCATTTTTTCATTTTTTATTGTTGGCACTATTACAGATGTCCCCCATTTCCCCCAGCGTTGCCCACCTCCACCCAGCCCCCTGGCCTTCACCACACTGTTGTCTGTGTCCGTGGGCTATTCATATACATGCTCTTCGGCTGTGACAATTTCTTAAAGACTTAAAGATTTGGGAGTAATTATTTTCCTTTTCCCCACTTAAAAAATGCTTTGCTTCAGTCTGCTTTCTTGGATTTACCACGAGCATTTCTGAATTTTCAGGGTTTTTTTGGTGGGGGGAGTTCTCTAGTATGGCTCAGTTCAAGGGACAAAGCATCGGCACAGCTGAGGCTATTTTCCCCAGTGGATCCCCGCCTGGAAAGTTGTGTGAGGTTTTCAGGGGGCACCAGTTGCTCCTGATAGTTAGCAGATGTTTGAATGCTCCCCAGAATCTGTTTCTTGAAGGAGAAAACCTTGAGCTAAGGTAGGTGGATTTCAGTTTTGGTCTCAGCACTTTGTGTCCAACTATGGATTAACTGGGGACGAGATATATGAGGAAGTTACCCTGGTTCTCCCAATTCCAGGTGAGGGGGTGCTGACAATCCCTCTAAGAAGACCTGTGCTCTAAGACTTCGCTACTTTCCCAGGAGTCCCTTGGCCAGGTAGCAGGATGTCATAGTAATTGTGATAATAGTGCTACTAACAGTAGCAGCAATAATAGTAGTTGCCATAATGTAATAGCCTCATCTTTTTCAATTTTATTTTATTTAAGATTTTTATTTATTTAATTTTTGGAGAGAGGAGAAGGGAGAGAGAAAGAGAGGGAGAGAAACATCAATGTGTAAGGGAAACATCAACTGGAGATCTTTTGTTTCACAGGCCAGCACTCAATCCACTGAGCTACCCCCATTAGGGCAAATAACCTCATCTTTTCAAGTCCTTCAAAAACACCAGAAACTGTTTAAAACTATTATGTGATGTAATTCTTACAACAACTTGATGAAGTAGGAACTGTTACTAGTTCCATTCACCTATGTGGAAACGTGTCATAATCTTGGTCATTCCAACAGCAAGGCAGTTAGTTGGCTTTTTCTGGTACCTCTTCATACTTGACCCTTGTAATAGCCTTAGAAGTTGCAGAGTAGGGGCGTCCTGTTCTTCAGATGATGAAACCCAGGTCCATGAAGGTTCAGTGATTTGACGGAAGTGTCCATGCTGGGATTAGAACCACGGGTCTTCAGTCTCTAACGTGGTAACCATGGTAGCAGTGGTGGCTTCAACCCGCACCCCCCTGCCCCCAGTCGCCAGGTCGCCAGTGAGAGCCAGTGTCGATACTTGAAGGAGCTGCGTGCCATGCGGCATTGCTCCAACTCCTCAGGCTGCGCCTGACCCCATCTTGGTTTTTGCGGGGGACCGAGGTGCCTGGGAAGGGCAGCCGCCCTTGGCCTCCTGTGCTGACTGGTGATGGTGCATAACTCTGATTAGTAAGAAATGGAGGATGTTAATTTATTACTTAGTAAAAACAGTTTGGCAGACACAGCCTTTTCACACATGAGACTCAGGAGGGAGAAGTTGTAGAAGAGGCTGCTGGTCATCAGGGTTCATGGGATCCCATGGGTTGGGTTCTCCCTACGGCAGGTTTTAAATAGGTCCTGAGTCGATAAGGAGGGTGAATAGCAGAGAGCAGGGGTCTTGGCTACCCTGCCGGTGCTAGGGTTGCTTCTTGAAGGCAGAACCCTGCTCCGCAAACACCACTC